GATCGAACTCTCTTAATGCGAACCAGTCCTCAGGTCGCCCAACACTGAGGGCCACCTGTAGGCCAGAATCGTTGTTGGGAGGGGGGAGGTCCTCGACTCTTTTGGCCTCAGGGGATTTCTGTCGCGGGGCTCTCCTCCCCGGGTGTATCTCTTCAGATGCCCGTCTTTGATTAAGATTTCGATTGCATCTTTCAGGTGGATGCAATCCTCGGTCACGTGCCCGTGGCTTCGGTGGAAGCAACAGTATTTGGATCTGTCCACATTGGCTTTGGTGGGTGCCGGGTTTGGAAAACGGACACCTCCCTTGACAAATTTTGAATTGGCGCACTCAGCTAGTATACGCTCGCGGGAAGCGACCAGTGTCGTGTATTCAGTAAGACGGCCAACGGGGCCCCGATGCTCACGGGGTTCTCGGGGACAATCCTCCAGCCGCCTGTCTCCCCCATGTCGGTGGGCTGATGCCCCTCCATCTCGGGACCCGCGGAGGGTTTCCTGATTTCTGGTGTCACGGGCGGTGTTGGCGGCCTCCGTCTCCTCGAACCAGATGTAATGGCAGGCTCTTTCGAGGAAGTGTTGGAGAGAGTCTGGCTGGTGGATGGCCACAGCCTCATAGAATTTGGAGTCTCGGTGTAAGCCCTACTCCATCAGGTAACATTTCATCTCATCTGATGTCGTTACCTAGACCGCCTCCCTCTTGAACCTCTCAATGTAGTTTCGGAGAGGCTCGTTTGGGGCCTAGATGATTGCGACCAGTGCGGCCTCTGTCTTCGGATGTCATTTTGACGCCGTGAAGTGCCGTGAAAATAGGTCTTTTAGGACCCTCCACGACGTGATGGACTCAGGCTTCAGGCTCTTGTACCATGCCATGGCTCCCTTTCTCAGTGTCGTCGGGAAGAGCCTACACTTGATGGCTCCTCATATGTTTCTATAGTCGAGCATAGCCTCGATGTCTTCCAGATGGTCGTCTGGGTCCGAGGTGCCGTCGTATGTCGAGAGCACGGATGATTTCTCCATCCCGTGGGGGATGGGAGCTGCCATGATTTCCCGCGATAGAGGAATCCTATAGTCGTCCTCGTCGCTGCGAACTGGGGATTGCGGAGGCGACGGTTCATGTCGAGGAGGCGGGTTACGCCCCCTCGGTCTTCTGGCTGGGGTTTCAGGCCCGTTCGCTCTTGGCTCCGGGGACCGCCTCCCCTTCCGGAGTGGTGATCTTGCTTGCTTCTTAGAGGGCACCGGTTGGGGACTCTCCAGCTGTGACCGATGCCTCCGTGGTCGTGGAGAGGGGCTCCAGGAGCTCCCACGCTGATTTCTCTGTGGAGGAGAGCTTGACGAGGTGTTGTGTTCTAGCGCGCCGATGCGCTCATTTTTCTGGAACAACATCTGGTTCGTCTGGTTGATGGTCACAAAAAGGGCAATCATCGTCGGTTTTGCTCCATCCGGTGTGGGAATGAGCTAGAATACCGTCGGACTCCTCGCCCGAGGAACATCATGGCGTGTAACCTCCTCGGACGAGGGAGAAGCAGTTTGGCTGTCCCTGAGTCGATATCCCGGGGTTGAGACGTCCCCGGGTGGTTGTCGTCGTTGGTGATCGGGGCGATGGCGGAGTTGTGAACAACGTCATCATGGCGTGGGCTAGTCATGATCTTAAGATTTGAGAGGTGAAGCTTTGATTCTCTGCTCGGAGGAACGGGAAAGCTTAGATTCTCACAAACAACGCCACTGATCGTACCTGACCAGAAGGGGATCTATGACCTGCCACACATCGTTGATCTGCTAGCTGCTCACCTATGGTATGAAAGAGGAGGGAGGTGTACCTGAAACACACTCTGATGCCAAAGTAAGTGACGAGCAGAATGGAAGCAAGTACAGGGAGAGAGTAAGAGAGTTAAGTTCCCTGACCCTCTAGTGAAGAGGGTATTTATAGTGAGTCTCCAACGCATGGCTAACGGTTTCCTAGCACTGAGCTGGACTGCCAGGCTCAATGTTAGTAACTGCTAGGGCTGATGTGGCGTTGTGAAGGCCAGCACGTGGTCTTCGCCCTAGGGTAACTGTTCCGCGCTATCCAGGAGGAGGAAGACCGAATCTCCAAGACGTGGGTAGTTACTTTATGATGTGTCCATGCGTGAGGGGTACGTGGAGAACGTGGGGGGAGGCTCGAGGAGTTCCCGGGCAGGCTGTATTTTTCCCGACGACGGGGGAGGAAGAGACTGGCTGGTTGGCTGTGAGGGTCCTGCCCGGCAGCTGTTGGCCTATGCCCGACGATGGGGGAGGAAGAGGCTGGCTGGTCGGCTGTGAGGGTCCTACCCGACAGCTGTTGGCCTATGCCCGACGGGGGAAAGGTTGTGCTCGGAGGAACTTTTGCCCGACATCGCGGTACTCTTGGGCCTAACCTCATTGGGGTTTGGGCCTGCCTGGTTGTGGGCTAAGCATCAACCCAGTCAAGAACAACTTATATACTCTTTTCACAACATATACTAAATCAAGTAGCTGATACCAAATTGGATACACCTATCGAATACTAGAAAAAAGTACATACAAGGACATGGATAGAGAGACTTAAGTGTTGAAGAAATTTAGAAAGTTGTATTTGAAATGGCTCATAAGAAAACTCTTAGGCTTGATGGTTATCCATCCAAATTCTACCATCATACCTAGAATATTATAGGTGAGAATACCTGCAATTTCATAAAATATATGTGGAGTATTACTGAAAACATTGAAGAGTTTAACAATATTGATATCTTTCTGATTCCGAAAGTGTTAAATCAACACATGTGCACTAATTTCGTCCAATATCCCATGTAACTCAAAATATTGACTATGGTCTAATTCAATAAAGAATCAAGACATGTCACCCAAAATGTAACATTAAATAAGAAAAACAAAATAATGGGGAACGAAACCCTAAAAAACAATATTATATATAAAGCTTAGATCATCTTTAATGCAAGTTTTTAATAGTTAAATTTTTTATAGTTAACGATGATTATAAATAATTTGGATTGGAATGACTATGACATGACATTTAATTCACTAACTTTTAGTTTCCGGCAATTATATAGCTAACGTATGCTATTTATTTTGAAACATATAATATTATTATTTATATTATTAAATTAATGGTAACTTCAATAAAAAAATAATTACAATTAAAAAATATAAAATATAGAGTCAAGTTTTAGTTTTTTATAAATAATTATCATTAAAGTAAAAACAACTCAACTCAACTATAAATTTTTAAAATTTTATAAATCACTTTAAACCCATAAAAAATATATTAGTTTATCCACTTAAAATACTTTTACTAAAGATGTTCTTATAGACAAAATAACATATTCTATTAAATTAACAGAGGATTATATAATACTTTTAATAAAAAAGTTATAAACTAGACAAAATCAGAAGCCCTCCTATCTACATTAAAAAAACAATGTAAAAATCAATTAAAAATTTGGAGAATTAAAAATATTAACTTTAAGTAACCCTAGAATAAGGAAGACAACATATTTTTGTACAAGAACCAACAAACTAACTTTAGCAAATTTGAAACTTTTCTTCTTTAGATTTCTCTCCAATTTTGTTAACGTATCTCATAAGTAAATCCTAATTTTGAAACATTATTGTACATGTTGGACACTAAAATGATATTTCATGCCATGTGACATATTTAATGGATACACCACATTTTTTTAACAATATTTCATTAAATAAACATAATCTAATGACTTTACGAGGAAAGTGGTCTCTAATTCTCCCTCTAGTTTTCCCTCTTTCTTTACAAGAAATGTCTAAAGTCACGAAAAAGTCCAAAAATTTAAATCTCTTTCATTAAAAGACTAACAATTTAAATAAATACAGACATAACTATTAATTTAATATTTACAGAAAAGTTGATGATATTATATAAAAATTAAAAGATTAGATAATACATTTAACTTATATATAAAGAACCAAAAACTTAAATGAACCATTATTTTATTATTGTTAATAAATGTCCTTTGATCGTTTGATATCCCCGCAAGAAGTTTATTTTAAGCATATTTTAGCACAAGTACTTTATCTTGATAACATATATGTAATGTTTTAAAACAACTCATCGTTACTTAATAGTGTTATCCTTTTATTTTATTTGATTGTGAACTTAACATTAGTCCATAAGTTTAACGAAAACTTACAGTTGTGAATGTCCTTTTTTTTTTCTTCCTTATGAAGTTTCCACAATATGAAATGTTTTAATGCGAGGAATCTATCATAAAAGCATTTTTAATGGGTATCAAACAAGATTTTATAAAAGAATGAATCAGTTCCTTAATTAATTTGTACTTATTGAGAAATAATAAAGTGGATTACATATATTTTGTTAAATAAATTTAATTAAGATAAATAATATTGGAATAAATAAATTATTTCATGCAAATAAAAAAGTATAAACACACGGGTTACTTTTTTTTGACATAAAAAGTGGTTGATTAAGATGCATATTATTAAAACAAAGTATATGTATTAATTGCATAAAGTAGAGTATGATTCGATAATGTGAAAACAACTTGTTAATACTAATTATATATGAATTCTTAAGTAAGTTGTTAGTATTTAAAAATAGTTATTGGAAATGCTTTAGAAGTCATCATTCGTTCAACATCACAATTTATAAAACTCTGACGTAGTAAAAAAAAGAAAAAAAAATCCAACAAAAAATAGTAAATTGTTAAAGCCGCAAGTTTGCCAAGAGTCAAAAAAATTGAAAATCAAACACCCCAAAGAAGAACACATGCAGTATTAAAATAAATTTATTAAGAATATTAAATTTGCCGGCACTGACCTTACGGATGCGATGACCTGTTCAAAGGATATACTGATATATACAAAGTGCACAATGTTTACACTTTGGCATCAACATTCCATTTACATTCCCAAATTTAAAAGCATGCTCTTCAATATTTGATTCTTCAATCTAACTCTATCTTTCATCAGTATTTTTATTTATTCTCAATCAAACTATGGTTTGGCTTTGGGCCACTTCCATGACAATCTCTTCCATCTTCTTCATTTTCGTTCTCTTTTTCTTTATTTTCCGTTTCTTCCGTAAAACCTCTGCACTTCATTTTCTGAAACGCTGGTGGCTTTCGTTTGAAAGCCGTCTTCATCTTCATCAATCCTTCAAAGTTCCGCTCTACGACCATAATTTCCGGGAAAATCAGCTTTACCGGAAAATTATTACGTACCTTGATTCATTACCTTCCGTTCAGGACTCCGATTTCACCAACCTCTTCTCCGGTACTAATCCGTCTGATATCTTCCTTCATCTCGACGCGAATCAAATCGTTCATGATACTTTCTTAGGAGCTAAGCTTTCTTGGACGAACAATACTGTTGCCGGTGACTCCGCGTCAGCGCTGGTGCTTAGAATGAAAAAGAAAGATAAACGTAGGGTTTTTCAGCAGTACTTCCAGCATATTCTCTCGGTGGCAGATGAAATTGAACAACGAAGGAAGAAGGATATAAAATTGTTCATGAATTCTGGCTCCGGGGAAACACATCGGTGGCGTTCGGTTCCGTTCACGCATCCGGCAAGCTTCGAAACGGTGGCGATGGATGTAGAATTGAAAAACAAGGTTAAAACAGATCTGGATCAGTTTCTGAAATCAAAGCAATACTACAACAGATTAGGCCGCGTTTGGAAGAGGAGTTATCTTCTCTACGGTGCATCCGGTACCGGGAAATCTAGTTTCGTAGCTGCTATGGCGAAGTTCCTCTGTTATGACGTTTACGATATCGACGTTTCCAAGGTGGTGGACGGTTCCGATTGGAAAACGCTGTTGATGCAAACTACGCCGAAGTCAATGATCTTAATCGAGGATCTCGATCGTTTACTAGCGGGAAAATCAACGTCTGTTAATTTATCAAGTGTATTGAACTTCATGGATGGGATAATGTCTTGTTGCGGTGAAGAGCGTGTGATGGTGTTCACGATGAACGGTACAAAAGATGAAGTTGATCAAGCTGTGTTGAGACCTGGGAGAGTTGATGTTCACATACACTTCCCCTTATGTGATTTCTCCACCTTTAAGATTCTCGCAAATAGTTATTTAGGGTTGAAGGAACACAAACTTTTCCCTCAGGTGGAAGAGGTTTTTCAGACCGGTGCGCGGCTCAGCCCGGCGGAAATCGGTGAAATTATGATATCGAACCGAAATTCGCCGAGTCGAGCCTTGAAAACAGTTATAACCGCTATGCAGGTGCAATCCAACGGCCAGGGGCAGAGATTGAGTAATAGTGGTTCGGGTCGGAGCTCCGACGAGGTTAGTGATGCAAATGGTGTGATATGTAGAGAGAGTGTTCATACGGTGAGGGAGTTTCGAAAGTTGTATGGGCTTTTGCGTTTGGGAAGTAGGAGGAAGGAGGAGTCTGGTTATTCGGGTCCCATAGAGAAAGAACCGCCACGCATCGAGGGTCGGGTCGGATGAAACGACCCGATTTGAATATATTTGTTTTTCTTGGAAAAATGTAAAGTGGCTTGACAGTTATTTGCTAGCTGCTACTAACAATTATTGTAGGTTTTTTTTCTTTCTTTTATAATTCACATGTACACAGGAAAATAATGGTTGGGCGGTTAGGTAGATTAAACTAGAATTCATATTCGTTGTTTGATATTTTAAATTTTGATAGAATCTATATTCAACACCTTGTGTTATTCTTTGAATTCTATTTTAGGGTTGAGAATCTATTCAATTACTTTCATTTGAGTCATTGACTGGCGAACAAAGGTCTCTCGTTGGAGGCCGCGGATTTGGGTGTGTACCTTTTGACCATAAAAAAGAAAGCAAATTATTTTGGCTACAAGAATATATAGTGTGCTCCAATGGATAGACACAGTTTGGATGAGAAGTACGTAAGACTCAAATCAACGGCATTAAAAAATAAAATTAAGTGTTTTAATTTGTAAGTACTAACATTATACACACGCAAAAAAATCTATTTCAAATCTTCATCTCAATTTAAAATAAGTTTGAATTTATCTAAAACTTTTAAAAACCAAACACAATTAATTATGAAGTGTGTTTAATTGATTATGAAGCAAAATTCGGCTGATAATTGATTATAGTAGTTGTGAAATGAATTACATTTGTAAAATGATGTCGTAAAAAATAAATTAAAATATTAAATAAATATTAAAAATTTTGAACAAATACAAGAAATTTTAATAGGTTTTATGAAAAAGAGAGAAGAAGGAAGAAGAAAAATTATAATTAATTAAAACTATTTTACTATTCACTTATTTAATAAGAGTTCAAAGATTACAAGTGAATAACAATAATTAACCTCTTTCAACAACCTGAGAGAACTAATTTATTTATAAACTACTAAGTTAATTTGAGAAACAATCAAACTTAAACAATTAGGTTTAAAAACAGACTCAATTCGACATACTAACTTAAATTATATGTTAACGAATTTCGACAACATGTTAACAGACTTCGACTGGATGCTAAGCTTCTGTCGAACCAAGAAGCTACTTTTGTCGAGACTAAAGTTCGATCCAAAATCTCAGAAATCTCCCCATTGGAAACACTCTACAATAACAAGGGAATAAACTGCATTTTTTCATGCAACTTTATCAACTGCATAGAGTGGAAAAACTTGCAACTTGGCAATGTGTTGATAATCATATCGGCAAAATTGTTATCAGTCAAAACCTTCGGCACTTGGACTTCTCCATGCTCGGTTATCTCGTTGACAAAGTTCAGTTTCATGTAACACCCCAATTTTAGTAATTATTTATTTATTAAATTAATTGATTAATTGTGTAATTTTGTGCCTATTTCATTTAATGGATTTAGTTGAATTATGTGATTTATTTGAATTAATTAATTTATGTGATTTATTCGATTTATTTGAATGATTTGATTTATATGAATTGTTTGATTTATATGAATTATTGGATTTATATAAAATAATTGACTTATTTAATTTATGAGTTAATTAATTTAATTGATTTAATCTAGATATGTGATTCATTGAATTAATTAAATTAATTGATTTATTCTATTTGGTAGAATAATTTAGAATTGTTAGATTATTTAGTTTGACTTAATTAGGTGTGAATAGTAAGTGGGAGTGGGTTGAGTTAAGCCCAATTGATTAAGACAATGTTAGGGTTTAACAAAAGAATAGAAAGAGAGAAAAAGTTAATAAAGAGGGAAAGAGAAATGGAGAAGAAGAGAAGAACCAAGAGAGAGAGTTCAAGAATCATCAAAAGTCAAGGTAAGGGCGGGTCTTTACATGGTTATGTGATTGTATGATATTGTATAATGGATAATATCATATTTACGATCAAAATCCCTAATTTCTATGATTTTAAAATTGACGATTACATGATGTATGATGGTAGGATCCTTAAATATATGTTTTAGGCTATTATAATTGTCATATAATGGTAATATTTCGAATTCTAAAACTGGAATTTTTTACGGAATCGAATTCAGAGGTCCAGAAGGCCTTCAAACTGCAAAAACCGCATTTTTCTAGTTTGTTGTCATGGAGAGTTCGCATAGCGAACCAGTAGCGAAAGTCCATGGTTTACATTCTGCAATGAGTCGCGATGCGAGCTGTATTTCGCATAGCGGACATCGCAATGCGAGCTGTATTTTGCATAGCGGACATCGCAATGCGAGCTGTATTTTGCATAGCGAAAGTCGCGATGTGAGCAGTAGCGAACCTGTAGCGAGTGATGACAGAATGGACGTAACTTTTGATCCGTAAGTCTGTTTTGGTCCCTATTCAAAGCGTTGGAAAGCTAATGGATAAATTTATATCATAATATATATAAGAGAATTGGTTGCCCAATATTTTTATATCTAATATATTTGGGAAGTCAATTGTGTATATGTTCTATTAATGAATTGTTGCAATGTTTGCTGCCGGTTGTGAAATTATTGTGGATAATTTATCGAATACTTATGTGTGTGCTTGTATAAGTATATTTTGGGTGTGATACACATGAAATTCATGATAGTTATTTCTTGTTGTAATGATAATACAATTGTAATTGTATTGTAAAATGTGTTGTATACCAATTGAAAGTGAATTGTGTGTGGATGATTCATAAAAATGTGCAAGTATGTGTAATTGTGTGGTAATTCAAGTGTGATGAATTATTGAAGATATGCATGGATATTAAGATTAGGGAATGATATTAATTGCACATGGTTGTTGAAATTGCACACGCATCATTTGTGTCAAGAGGCAATGCTTGTTAGTTATGTGGGAGCTAGTGACTTGTCCCAAAACCTAGAGCGGGGTTTGAAAGCTTAGGGAATGGTCTTTTATGTATTATTGGTCTAGGGAACGGACCCAGTTTAAATATAAAAACTGAAAAATAATAACAAGTGTTGGTACCACATGACATGAGTTGCATTGAGTCTTGCATTGAGTCTCATTGTGTATATGTTTGTGATATAAGATTATGTGTATCTATGTGAATTGTTGAATTGGTGAAATTGTGGATTGTGTGTATATACTTGTGAATGATATGATTACTTGAGTGATACTTTGTTGATGAAACTTTGAAGTGTGAGAACGATTGTGATTATACTTGTATGCCTTAAAATTAATTATTATCTTATGATTTCAATAATTATGTAAATTCTCACTCTTCTGTTGGAATGATGTTTTATACGACATCGCTCAGGTACCGAGGAGTAGAGTTGCTTCTAGCGCGAGGTAGCCGTTGGAGTATCTTATTTAGTTATTTATTTATTTTGGATTGAGTCGTGCTCTGATAATGTAACACTGAGATATTTCAGTTTATGTTTGAGAGATACATTATGTACTCTACTTTATGTTTTTATGTTTATTTGAATTATGAGGAGTATAGGCTTTATGCCTAAGTATTGATTATGAATGAGATGAGTATGAGACTTTCATTATGTTAATTTATGATTGAAGTAATTCCGCTGCTACCTGCTATGTGAAAGTATATGAAAAGCATGAATTTATTTTAAGTGTTATTGAGCATGACAAATGTATGTGTGATGTTTTGAATTATATGTGACACCTTTATTTGAGATGCATGATAATTTAATCTTATTATTTATATATATTCTGCAGGATTTAGGAGGGTGTTACATTAGTGGTATCAGAGCAGGTCGGTCCATCCGGCCAGGTTGTATAATGTTCTTTGTTCCCTAGTATGCGACATATGTGTGAAAACACTGTTAGTACACGTTTGTTTTTCTAACCTTTGTCTGCAGTAGTGGGATTGAAACAAGTGGGTGAGAAGCTTGTGCTTCTCCAAGATGATTCAAGTATGGAGAGGTTGCTCAGTGTGTCATTAAACGCTATTATAGTTTGGTAAAGATGGTTTATACCCCATCATGATTGTCGGTTGTCTATTAACAAATTGAGGAACTGTTCACCCTTAATCTCTTGTTAATAGTGGACAGGATCATGTTTGATGGAATAGACGTGTCTTACGAGCTTAGATGGTGTGTGCAGTGAATTGTTTGGAGTTAAGCCAAATGCTTACGGATTGTTTTGTGAGTCGGTGCAGGATGGTGTTGAGATGTTTATGTTGATGCCAACTTTGAGTATTATTGAAGGTGGAGAAGTTGGTGTTTTCCCAATTGTTTTTGATTTTCTGGAAGTTTTTCCTGATGAGATAAGTGATTTCAGCAACATGTTAACAGACTTCGACTGGATGCTAAGCTTTTGTCGAACCAAGAAGTTACCCTTGTCGAGACTAGAGTTCGATCCAAAATCTCACAAATCTTTCCATTAGAACAAACTCTACAATAACAAGGAAACGCACTAGCTTTCTTCATGCAGCTTAATCAACTGCATACAGTAGAAAAACTTGCAACTTGATAATCATATCAGCAACATTGTCATCAGTCGAGACCTTAAGCACTTGGACTTCTCCATGCTCGATTATCTCTCTGACAAAGTTCAGCTTCACATCGATGTGTTTAGTTCGCTCATGATAGGTTGAATTCTTAGACAAGTGTATTGCACTTTGACTATCACATTTAACAGTGATAACTCGACCTTGTAGTTTCAGCTCCTTAGCAAACCCTTCAAGCCATAATGCTTCTTTCATAGCTTCAACGAGGGTAATATACTTCACTTTAGTGGTTGATAAGGCAATAACCTTCTAAAGTGTTGATTTCCAACTAATTGTTGTGCCAAACATAATGAACAATATCCAAAAATAGATTTTCTAGAATCTGTAACACCCCCTTTCTATACCCCCAAACAAACAATTAAAATCATATAAGCAATTAATAAAAGTTTCATCAGAGTATAAATTAAAACATGGTATAAAATAGGCGCATCACATTATCATTGAAACGAAACATAAATAATACCTGCTCATAAAGATATGTAACAAAAGGGGTAAATCTCAACTAAAAACAAAGCATAGCGCTTAAAACCCACATATCAATATTTATAATAAAGCGGAAACATC